ACTGAAGTGCTCCAACCACACTGCGATACCGAAAGGAGTCATCTCTACCCAGTAGTGCACCACTATGACGTGAGAGACTCTTGGATGTAGCAAGCGGAGTGGAAGTGGCCTTGCAGTTCTCCATGTTGACGCGGTGAAGAAGGTCCAAAGCATACTTTTTCTGCGTCAAGGTCATGCCCGCTGAATGAAAGGACGCTTCCAAACCAAGAAAGTACTCGAGGCGACCCAAATCTTTGATGGGAGAGCTAGCAGCCAACGACTGCACAAGACGATCCGCCATGGCGGTGGTAGAGCCAGCAATCACAATATCATCAACGTACACCAGCATGTATATCTATATAGCACCCTGAGAGAAGATGAACAGAGATGCATCTGATCCGGAGGCAACAAAACCGAGCTGCGAAAGGCGCTGATTCAAACGAGCATACCAGGCACGGGGAGACTGCTTGAGACCATAAATAGACCGCTGAAGTTTGCAGACATGAGAGGGATACGTGGCATCCTCGAACCAGGGTGGCTGCTGCATATACACATCTTCGGCCAAGAACCCATGTAAAAAGGCATTGCTTACATCAATCTATCGGAGGCTCCAACCACGAGACACGGCAAGAGACAGAACCAAGCGAACTGTGGCAGGCTTCACCACCGGGCTAAAGGTATCTCCATAGTCAATCCCATGATGTTGAGTGAAACCGCGAGCAACAAGACGAGCTTTGTGCTTATCAACAGACCCATCCGAACGATGCTTGGTTTTGAAAATCCACTTGCAGCTCACAATATTAACACCAGGTGGCCGAGGCACCAACACCCAGGTGTTAGTGTGACGGAGAGCAGCAAACTCCTCGGACATGGCGGCACGCCAGGCACGTTCAACCAGAGCATCAAGATGGGAAACTGGCGCGGCGAAGAAGGCACGACGGTGAGAGTCATACCGAACCGTGCCATCAGTGTAAGACTTCTCCTTGCGCGTATGATCACGATGGCGTGTAACCATAGCATGCGCCGGAGCTGCCTCACCGGTAGGAGAAGACGGTGGCGACGAGGGCTCGGCCGAGGGTGTTGCGGCTGAGGAGATCTCAACAAGAGGCGACACAGGCCGAGAGACGATGGTGGGCTGGACCGGTCCAGGCGAAAGTGGCGGCCCGGACGACGCAACGGGCGAGGGTGGCGGCCCAGCCACATCCGCGGTCGCGCCATCTGGCGAGGCAGCCGCGCCTGCCCCGGGCGGCAGGACAGGCACGTCCTGAGCATGCACGTCGGGCTCATCAGGAGGCGGCGGAGCAGCAACATGTACCTGAGGGGAACTCAAAGCAATAGCACCTGCAGAGGGCAAGTTAGGTGAAAAATAGGACAAGTCATATTTACGCACATGGACATCCGAAACTAGTTCATCAGAGGGGAAAGTGAAGGCATGTTCAAGAGAAGGAGGATCAACCGAGACGCCGAGTTGGGAGTAAGGAAACACAGTCTCGTCGAAAACAACATCACAAGAGATGTATATCCGACCGGAGGTACGGTCAAGACACTTATAGCCCTTTTGCAAAGGACTATAGCCAAGGAAGACACACATCTTGGAACGGAACTCGAGCTTGTGAGCGTTGTACTTGCGGAGACTAGGCCAGCAAGCACACCCAAAAATCTGAAGGGAGGAGTAGTTGGGCTGAACATGAAACAGACGGAACAGAGGTGTGTCCTTGTTGAGAAGCGGAGTGGTCATACGGTTGATGAAGTAACATGCCGTAAGAAAAGCCTCATCCCAAAACCAAAGTGGAAGAGAGGAGTGCGCAAGCAAGGCAAGGCCGGTCTCGAGCAAATGTCGGTGTTTGCGCTCGGCAATACCGTTCTGCTGAGAGGTATATGGCCATGACACTCGGTGAGAGATGCCCGTGCGTTGAAAGTAGCGATGGAGTTTGTGGTATTCACCACCCCAGTCGGACTGAACAGCCTTGATTTTATAATCCGGAAGGCATTCGACATGAGCCTGAAAGTTGTAGAAAACTTGCTCAACATCAGATTTGTGTTTAAGCAAATAAATCCAGGTGAAGGACGTGTAGTCATCAATAAAACTAACATAATACTTATACCCTCCCAACGAAGCACGAGCGGGACCCCAAACATCTAAATGTATTAATTCAAAAGGTACCATAGTGATAAGAAACAAAGTAGAATAAGGTAGTTGATGACTCTTAGCATGCTGACAGGCATCACAAACTAAAGATGAATTATTTGAACTTGAACACAGAAGTTCATGACTCCGAACAATGGGAGTGACGACATTAGTTGTAGGATGACCAAGACGTTGATGCCATTGCGACGACGAAACTCGAACATCGGAGGAGGCACGGCGAGACGATGAAGATGACGCACG